CTCTTTCCCCCATAATTCTGGAACATTAACTAGTTGTTTCTCGTTGGGAGCTCCTTTGAAAATCTGTAAGAACACCAACTGCCGAGGAAAGCATGACTATCGATCTCTTCCTCAATCAACATCCATCGGGGTTGATCCTTGGAAGGCAACTTCTCCCTTTACCGACATTATCATTCTCCACCAACTGCCGAGGAAAGCATGACTATCGATCTCTGCTTCAATCAACATCCATCGGGGTTGATCCTTGGAAGGAAACTTCTCCCTTTACCGACATTATCATTCTCAACACCTATAAATAGCCCCCTCCTCTTCACGGTCCTCAACACCTCCTCCTCTCCTCCTTATCCCTCATCCTCTCAGGTGGTGCTTCGATCGACCTCTTCTTCTTTATGTGATGCAGTGCTCTCGATGGTGGTCGACTCTCCTCCTTCAATAATCTTCTTCTTCGTTTTAATTTATTTTAATTATTTTATTTATGTTTGGGTGCGAGCATACCGGCACCAGTGCACCAGATCCCATCAGAACTCCATAGTTAAGCGTGTTTCGGCTAGACTAGTACTAGGATGCACTATCATTGCCAGTCTCAAGCCAAGATGTGAAAAGTGGAGGGTTGCGTTAGGTAGTCGACAACCAGCGTAAAACTTGTCGAAATAAATCATGACATAAATCATTTTAATCTTTGTGTAAGTGTTAGGGCGTCCCCTGGTAGCGACACACTACATGACCTGAATATAGTGAAAAGTGTGCAAGGGCCATTACATCAGCGCCCATATGTAGTGTCAAAGAAGCATGGGTTCCCACATTACGAATGGATGCAGGTAAAGAAGTTAGTCCATAAAACTAATGAAATTAATATTACAATAGGATCTTGGAATATAGGTAATCTCAATGGCAAATTAATGGAATTAATTTATATTATGATTCATAGAAAGATTAATATCTCATGTATTCAAGAAACTAAATGGTTTGGAGAAAAAGTTAAGGAGATTGATAACTTAAGTGTTTGGTATTCTGGTAAGTGTCGCACGATAAATGGTATAGATGTAATTATATATTAGATTTTGAAAGATAATGTTGTAAAAATGAATAGAGTTGGAGATAGAATTATAACACTTAAGATTATCATTGATACTAAGATTTTTAATAATATAAGTGCTTATGCTCCTTAAATAGGTTTAGATATAGAGTCTACAGATAAATTCTGTAATGATTTAGAAGACTTAATACAAATGATACCTCTTGAAGAAAGAATTTTGATTGGATGAGATTTAAATGGACACGTCGGTAGAGTGATAGAAGATTTTAGAAATATTCATGGTGGCTATGGTTTTTGGAGTGGTAATGAAAAAGGTTGAGCTTCTTTGCCCCCCTTCATGCCACTTTGCATCCTTCCACGCCATTCCACACCATTAGTCATTTATTTTCTTTATAGTTTTGAGTTTTTGTGGTGAATTTAAGAGTGAATTCTTCTGCAAGAGTGTTGGAGAGGGAGATAAGTGAGAGATTTCTTCTTCCTACAATTCTTAAGAGAGGCTATAAGGGATTTGCTTTGAGAAAGAGTTTCAGATATGTGTTATTTGTTTATTATTTTTGTATGAACTTTCTTTTATATATGAAATTTGTGTTTTGTTGTATCTTTATTATGAAGTCTGAGTAGTTTTTTTTATCTTTCTCCCTACCTTGAGATATGGTGAAATGAAGAGATAATTTGGATGTGCGAATGTTAAAATATAGATTAAATTTTGATGGTTTTTCAACTTTGATAAAATATGTTGTAAAACATATGATCCGGGAAATGGAGTATGAGTTCTACAACTGAGTGAGAATCACATTTAATTCCATGAAGGAGTATTTCATTCATAATAAATAGGAAAATATACATTGTTGGGTGTAGAATTGGAGATTTTAGGGTGACAGACTAAAATTCCCAATTTAATCTTTGTGTTTAAGAACTAAAGTGAGAGATAGCCTTCAGGGGAAGGGAAGTGGGAGCTCTGAAGTGGGGCCCAATATCCCCTAGCCTAGCCATAGATTTAGGGACTAAACCTGAGATTAGCCAATGATTTTCTATAACACTGAACCAGGGTAAAGAATTAAAATTGCTCGTACTTGGCATAATACATATTTAAACCATTTATTTCATCTCATTTCATCAGAAACTCATTGTAGTGGGAAAGATACTTTGCATATTAGAAAACTTCATCACATAAACAAAGTTTTGTAGTTACTGTTTTAAACTTTGCATTTAATTTCTGCTAGTAGTTAAAAATTTAGATTTGAAATTTTAGATTTAAAATTATCTTAAACATTCAAAATTAGTGACAATAATTTCATTTTATTTCTGTGAATCTTCTAGTTAATTTATCAGTTCAAATTTATGCCTTCCTCGTGGGATCGATATTTAGGACTTAAATAGAAAGTCTTATATTACTTGATAATGATACATATACTTGCGTAGGATCCCAACATTAAGTGTTAAATGTTATTATTAATAAATTCAACATCTAGTTTTTGTCACCATTGTAAGGTGGAGTCAAATTTACAAATTTTACATAACTATATTTTTTGGGATCAGTAGATCCTAAAGAGAGGGCACAGTGGGTAATCTAGAAGTGAGAGACTAGAATCTACTCAACTCTACTATACAATAAAGAATTTACTTTAGATTAATTAATGAGTAATGAATAGGTATGCTCCTATTTGTTAAAATACTTCATTTAAAGTTTTAAACATTTTGAATCCAACACAAAATATGAACTCATTGCAAGGGGACAGATTTTTTCCATAACTAGAACTCTCATTTACATTTAGCATAGTTTAGAATTTTTTCATTTACATTTATTTTTAATCAGAACTTGTAGGAATTTAGAAGCTTTACTTTTCATATTAATTTGCTTTTGTATTTTCTAGATTAATTTCTAGAGTTTTATGTAAAATTTTCACTAAAAGTCTATTCAAAGAATTACAGCTTCCCTAGGGGTTTTTATAGAAAGTTTTATATTACTTGAATCGATATGTATACTTGTGTAGTACCTCTAGTGTGAAAACTATTGTCTTATATTTTATAAAAATTCATTTATTCACATTAGCCACTAAATATAAATGGGGTCAAGTTTTTGGTAATCTTTTGGAATATTAAAAACTGTGTAATTGACATATCTTAAAATTACCTATTTTATATTTGCATTTCATGCTTATTTTTTATGATATTGTGTATAAATGAAAGATATTTTGCATGTTTTTGGTTTTAAGTGCATGAAATGGATTTTATAGGAAAAGAAGTGGAAATGGATGCAAAAGGGGGTTATGGAGTAGTGGCTCTTAAGCGACTTCTGGCGCCTACGCGTCAAAGACCGGACTTGATTGGCGCTTAGGGGCCAGAAACGGTTACCTTCTTTTTTCAATGAATTTGGATAAATTTTGAGGAGGTGCTTGAAGTAACCCTTGATGATTTTCAAAGCT